GAGCCTGAGGGTGGTGTTTGACCCCGGCCCCCACCCCGGCCCCCCGCCCCCCGTCCTCACCTGCTTAGTGGTAATGCTGTGGGGTCGAAGCTCTCCGTGCTTTGCCGTCAGCACTGGAAGGAAAGACGCTGCATAACTTTAATAAAAGGTGCTATTAATGATGTTTACAAGTTCCTCTCCTCAATAAGCATCAATTCAGACTAACTGCTTTCATAAACCCACATGTGGATGCAGAAGCCCCAGGGAGTCGTGAAGGCAACTGCGATGCCCGTCCCGCCCACGTGCCCCAAGGAGCCTGCACGGCGTCCCAAGCACCGTGAGCACCGCCAGGAGCTCGCCGCGTGCTCCTCAAGGAGTCAAGCGTCAAGACAAGTGAGTGGCTGAAAGGAAGGCAACTTCTAGTTCTTTCTGTCTCCCAGCAACAAAACTCCTCTAAGTAAAGAGTCTGATCTGTGGAGATACAAGCCTGACCCAAGTTTAGCAAGTTTAATGCCATTTGCTTCTGATGAGCAAGCTGGTGACCAATGAAATAAATGGGGACAGTCTACGCGGGACAGCTCTAACCCCCCTCCATAAAGAACCTCAGGCACACCGCCGACACCCTGTTGTGCCGTCAACCGTGGTCATGCAACGTAACGGAGATCAGTGCTACACGGAAACCAGAGAATCAACGCTGTACTTAGCATCTGAAAGATAATTACTGCACTGAACTGCCTGTATGTACAGGGTTTTAGGTCTCTGCTTCCTAAACAACGTGAAGTTACACATTACCGTGTTTTTAGGACCATAAGATGCACCTAGGTTTTAGAGGAAGAAAATAGGGAAAAAAATCTTGAAGCAAAAAAATGTGGCAAAATATTTAATAACATAAATAACTTAGCACCCCCCCCACCACAGCGAGCCAGGTAAGCTACATTCAGACTATAAGACGCACCCCCATTTTCCTCCCAAATGGGTTGGGGGAGCGTCTTATAGTCTGAAAAATACGGTAACTTAAGGGGCAAACTCGTGATTCTACATAGGCTTTCCCTACACAAAAGACAGTGCCTCCGACCCACGTCCCGTCTGCAGTGCTCACATTCCGTTCCCTCCCCAAGGTGGTACCCAGCCACACCAGTCCATCGGCAGTACCCTGCCTGACATCCACAGTGACCAACAGCACGGCCGCCGAGACTTCTCGAAGGCCTCTGGTTTGGTCTCAGAATAGAGCAAAGGTAATCGTGTCCACAGTTGGTTTAAACCTTGACCCCTCAGCTCGGAAGGCTGGCTAGAGGTCATTCCCACGTGAGAGCACCACGGTGGTGGGAGGGCCGAGAGACGTGCTAGGATGTGAAGGGGGCCGAAGAAGCTTGGACAGTGACCAAAACACAGAAGACGCACTGTTTACCGTGGATGCGATCTGAGGGGAGGGGAGGGAGAGGAGAAAGAAGAACAGACCCCTGAAAGCGACTCCTTCAGGAAGCTCTCCGGGCTGGGCAACAAGCGGGGCCTCGGACAGGGGATGGGAAGGCAAGCACGAGGCCTCGGAAGGAGTGAGACCGACAGGAGGAGCGACAGGGCAGAGCACACGCATCACAGGCTGGTGAGAGCCCTCCGCTCTCCCGGAAAGGCTCCGCACTGACCGAGAGCATCTTTCCGTCTCACCGAGGCCGGTGCCGCAGCGTCACGCCAGCATCTTTCTCCGGACCCCGGACCCAGTGCCGCACGGTGCCTCCTGTGAGACTGGACAAGGTCGTGCAAGTCTGTGTGTCTGTGTTCTCTTCTGTCGTATCTTTAACTTCGACGTCATCCAACAAGATGCCCAAGACCAACTGGAACCCAACATAATCCCGTATCATCTTAGGCTGCACTTAAAAGCTGATTATTGTTTCCTTTGGGTGACAGGTGTTTTAATTATTACCTAGCTAGCTGAAGTTAGCGTCCAAGTTTGATTCCCCATCTAAGTGAACCACCCAAAGTCAGAGTCACCCTGAGTGACCTGGAAGAGACTAGATAGTTCTCGTCCCGAAATGAATGACCTCTATACAGCAAGCCAGGGTACCGAGCTTCTGCTCTCATTTAACTGTTTTAGTGATCAGCTCAAAACAAACAAACAATCTCATCGAGTGGTTTACACACGGCTGCAGATGCCTCTCCTGAAGTCGGGAGCCAAGAGCCTTCAACACACTGACACCACGACTTCTCTTGGACCAGTGTCCTAGCAAAAACACCCAGAGACTGTGGCCATCATTACTTTGGCCAACCCATGGCCAGAGAGTCCCCTCTTCTCCACTCTATCTTTTAGGTAAAAAAGCTGAAAGGATGAAATCAACCGTCTAAATCCAAGCACCAATCTCTGTATGGTACTGTGTGTTTACAACACCTTCTAAACAACAACTCGGCTTTCACGGGAGGCCAGGTAACTGTGAGCGCCGTCCCCGTCCCCAGGGCCGCTCCCAGGCTCCCAGGAGGGAAGTGGCTGGCCCGTGGTCAGCACTGGGGGCGGGCGGGGTGGCTGAGGTTGCAGGGGGTCGACCAAAGGAGGACCGGGTGAGGACAAGCATCCCAGCATGACCTTGGACACCAGAGGCAGCTGCGCGCAGACAGTCTCAGATCTGACCCCGGTCTACCAGCCAGCCTCTTCTCCTTTACCCTGTGACCCCCACGGACGCTCTGCGTCCTCCTGCAACTACGGGGGCGCCCCAGGGGAGCCCGGGCAGCCAGCCTTCACATGCACTTCCCCTATCTGACGCGCTCCCCACCCATTTCTTCTTTTAGCTGCCTCCATCTGACCTTTAAACTCGGCTCAAATGACACCTCTTTGAGGAGCTGGCCTCCTTATTGCTCTCAGAGCTCTCTGGATTCCCTTACATCACTGCACCGCCCTGGCCGACTCTGCCTTCTGTCCCCTGCCCTGCACCTCAGCTCTCGGGCGGGGGGCTGAGGGACAGTCAGGGCATGCATGTGATGGGACTCGCCTTCTGCTGGTCCCTGACACATGGAGCGGGCACTCAGGAAGTGTCTGCGGGCGACACGAGTGGACGTGCTGATTCCAACAGCAGCCACGCCAGGCTTGCCGCCACGTTCCCTTCAGCTGCCTGGGTTCCCTTCCCAGCCTGGCCCCTCTGGGCCAGGAGAACATCACGTAAGCTACAGACCCTCCTGGAATTATAATACATGCTGGGTTTTGTTTGTTTTTGCTTTATTTTCATGTTAAATGGAAAACCTCTGGTTCCCTATACATTGGGAGTCACTCTGACCCGCTCCCCTAGGGGGCAAAGTCACAGCTACCATCAAGGAGTGCTTCCCAGGGGTCAGACAGTGCACTTGTCAGGAGCACGAGTGAGCTCCGAGGTCGGGGTTCAAATGTGCCCTTTGCCAACTGGGGGTGTGGCCAGCATCCGGTCCACCAGTACCTCCTGAAGGAGCTCCTATGTGGGCAAGTGCTGGAGACAGAGCGGGGCCCGGCCCTTCGACCTGCGGCCCGCGCCCATCACGGCAGCCTGTTCTCGCCCTCACGGCACGGACAGCTGTCGGAAAGAGTCTCGCCTGCCACGTGTCCCTTTGTGTGAACAGTAAGCTCTGTGACAGCAGGGACCTCGTCCATCTGGTCCACTGGCTGCCGCTCCAGGGCCTCAGCACACATGTAAGAAGGAACCACTAAGTAGAGCGAGGTCCCCGCGGCCCATGGTGCTTGCATTTTGCCGGACAAGGTAGGCGTGGGGGGGAAGAAACATGAAAACTACCACACAGGGGTGTCCGACCCGCAGCCCACCGCGGCGTGCAGCTGAGGAGGACTACGAATGCGACCCAACACAAAATCGTAAATTTGCTTACAACATCATGAGATTTTCTTGTTATCACGTGTGCAGTGTAGTTAGTGTCTGGCCCAAGCCAACTCTTCTCCCAGTGTGGCGCAGAGAGGAGGCAAGGTTGGACACCTCCTACAGCAGGGGCATAAACGCATTCCCCCAGCGGCCACATCAGCCTGCGGGGCGCCTTCCCAGGGCCGAGTGTAACCTCAGGAGTGTGCAGATGTAACTCCTCCTTAGCTAGGGGCAAGGAGCTCTGAGCGGCGGCTGGGAAGAAACAAGCTGCCTGCGGGATAAAGCAAGGCAAAGGGCGGATTCGGCCGCCGGCCTTGTGCTTGCCACCAGCGGCCGAGGGGTCCCCACTGGGAAGGGCCCGGGCTTGCCGCACACGCTGGCCACACACTAGGCTTCCTCTGGCTTCTGCTCCACGCAGCTCTGGGGAGGAAAGGCATCTCCCACCCCCGCAGCTTGCCAGGACCTGCACCAACATGGGCAACAGGCTGAGGAGACCGCACGAGGAAAGCGGGGCCACGTCCCGTCGGACTCCCGCGGAGGGTCCTCTCCTTCAGGCGTGGCCCAGATCCCTGCTGGACTCGCAACGTGCGCTGGGCACTCGGCAGAGAGAGACCAGAGCCTGCCCTCATGGAGCTTCCCTTCAGGTGCAGAAACACTACACAGCGGGCAAGGCGGTATTTTGGAGGCAGTAGGAAGTGCGTGCTGACACCGCACCGCGGGCTACCGGGGAGTGACTGCACGTGTCCAGGTGGGGTGGCCGTTCGGAGCAGACCCCTCCGAGAGGGGGGTGACAGCTGACCTAAGACCCGAAGAGGTCAACCTCGCGGGAGAGCAGCGAAGAACCTCGCGGGCAAAGCCAGTCACCAAGGCTCACACGCACGAGCGAAATCCCACAAACTCGACAGTAAGTTAAAATGGCAACTGTGCCGAGTGGCTGGAGAGCGAGGCGCGCACGGGAAGGCTCCGGGGAGGAGGAGTGACACCGCCTCCCTCGCCCGGGCACCCGGGCGCCTGGCCTTCGGGTGCAGGCGGCCCTAGCCACTTCGTGGGGCCCGGTGCGCCCGCGCCGTCGGGGGCCGCGGGCCCGAGGGGTCCGACGTCACCGCCGCGCCAGCCGGTCCCTCCGGAGCGCGGGAGGGGGCGCGGGGCGGCAGGGCCTGGCACTCGGCCGAAGACGGCCGGCCTCCGGCTTACCTCGGAATTTGAGCTCGTGCTGCGGCTCGAGGCTCAGGACCTGCTCCACCTTCGCCATGTTCCTCAGCGGCGGGACACCTCTGGCGGGGAGACCCCTGAGAGGTCACCTGACGCGGGAGGAGTTAATGCTGCGCCGCCTTTAAATTTGGGAAAGGGGGGGCCGGCTGGGGGGCGGGCGGGGGTCGCTGCGGGGTGCGCGCGGAGGGGGGGGTGGCCTACGCGGTGCAAGCGCAGGGGCGGAGGGCGAGGGCGAGGCCGCGGTGCCCGGCGAGCGCACGGCACGCACGCAACGACGCACACAGCGACGCACGCACGCACGCACGCACGCAGCGGTCTGGCTGGCTAGGACCTTCGCGCAATCGGGCGGCGGGAAGCTGCGCTCCCGGAACTGCTCTTGGGGCAGTGCGCAGGCGCGACGCTGGCCTCGGGGGCGGGGCTGGAAGGGGCGGGGCGGGACGCTGGACTGGAGGAGGGGCGTGCCCAGGAAGTGCAGGAAAGAGGGCAGCCTCCGCGAAGATTGTTTTTGCAGTGCCCGTGGGGACCATCAGTTGTGTTAAGTGCTTTATTCAATAATAATAATTAATAACAACAGACTTCCAATTTTCCCCTGCTTATGCAGTGCCAGGCACTGTTAGAGACCTTGAATAATAATGAAAGTACCATTTATTCTCATTATAAATATGTTTATGGGTGAACTATGCGTTCTAGGCACTGTGACGTTTGAACGCCAGTAAGTGTAAATAGTTGCCAATTATTGCTTGTTTATTTTGTGCCACTCTGGTGAACGCTTTCAATAACAACAGCAACAGCTAAAATGAAAGCTATGCTACATTACATGTTGACTATGTATCACCAGCAGTGTGCTGAATGAAACCTTTACTAATAGATGCAACAAATATTTAGAAATGCAATGATCAGAAAAGTTGACCTGGTTCCTGCCCTCTCTCAAGAGTCTACTGGAGAAACAGCCTTTGAATCAATAACCACACAAATAAGTTATGTGGTTATAAAAGACAGGGAACCCAGTTTGCTTGGCCTCAAAAGTGAACACGACCTCATTACTGCCCTCTAAATTGTACTTCATTGTGTAATGTTTACTACAGAAAATGTGTGTTGATAGTCTGCTGTATGTAACAGATGAAACGAACACAGCAAATAGGTAACAATGTTCACTCTGTATGGTGGGCGCATGTTCTTTGTACTATTCTTCCTGCTTTTCTGTATATTTGAAATTTTTCATAATAAAAAGTGGTTGTTTTAAGATGATCTTTGTCTTTTAACTAGATCATTTGGTCCATTTACACTTATTATATTTACTGATATAAGTGAATTTATTTCTACCATCTTATTTTGTGCTTCCTATTGGTCCTGCCTATTTTATTTTCCCACTCCTTTCTTGTTTCTTTAGGACTGATATGTTTTTCATTCCATCTTTCTTTTTTACATACACTCTATTTCTGTTGTTGTAGTGATTACCCTAGAAATTTTGCCATGGCTACTTACAAAGTCCAGTTTTCAAAATACCTTGACTTGGTTTTCTCAAAGTATAAGGACTGGGATACTTTAATCACCCATTCTCTCAATTATATGCTTTAATCGCAGTGTATTGTAGGTTTAGTCTTGTCCCCTTTCACCCCATGAGTTATTATTAAGTTGTTTCAGACAGTCAATGTTAGTTTAGACTCAAACACACAGTTACCACTTTCTCTGCTTATCTTTCCTTGAATCTCAGACCTCACAGCCAGGGTCACTTTCCATTCTATTTCAGCAAGGGCTTGTTGGGACAGTTCGAGCAATGACAGTAAGTCAGAAAAAATTCCAAATACTTTGTATTAGCTATTCTTCCCTCACTCCCTATGCCTTCAGTGTGGACTGTGCTTAGTGACATTCTTTCAAAGAGTACAGTACGAGAAGTAGAAGAATAACAACTCCCAAAGGGACACCTGGCAAACAGCCCCCCCAGCTGGGTGACCGCACTCAGGCTGAGACTGTGGACCTTGCTATGGTAGGACGAGAAGGGCACTTGGTCTCTGGGGTCTTTCCCCCCAGAAAGGCCCACAATCCCACTCTAATTATAAGGAAAACATCACAAAACCTGAACCGAAGGATGCCCTACACCAGAGCTGAGCAGGACTCCTTCAATGTCAAGGTCATCAAAAATAAGGAAAGTCTGAGAAACTCACAGCCCAGAGAGCTGAAGACCAGATGTCATGGGGTGTCCTGAATGGGGTCTGGGAACAGAAAAAGGGCATCATGGGCAACACCAAGAAAACCTGCATAAAATACGGACCAGTTCAAAATGGCATGTTAACGTGTGAATGGCGGCTCGTCAGTTGTGGCTAACGCACTCATCGGTGTGAGACGTTGACCACAGGGGAGGCTGGGTAGGCGCAAACTCTGCTTCCTGTCTGTGCGACTTTCTGTGACTCCCAAACTGTTCTCAATTAAAAGTGTATTTAAAATATTTTTATGGGCTCTTCAACTGCCTGTGTTGGTGTTCTCAAACCCTTTGGTAACCACGTGCAACGTGGAACCACGGGGAGCAAATGGATGGCTCTGTGGGGTTCGTGTCTTCATCTCGCTCCATGTCTAGCTCTGGAAACGCCACCACCCCCGGCGGCCCCAGTCCCACCCGTCCTGTGCGGCCTCACTCGCTCCTTCTCGCGTTCGTTTGCCCGTCTGAGCAGATACTGCCGCCTGAGCTGCCTGCAGTGGGGCGCATTCAGCCCCAGCCACAAAGAGCCTCACTGTTTAGTGAGCAGAGCTGAAAGAGAAAAAAAAAAATAACCCAAATAATTACAATCTGTGATAAATGCTGAAATAGACGAGAAGAAAGCTGCCAAGAGGCAATGAACTTGACTCTTGGGGCTGGGAGAAAACCTAAAAGCTCAGAGGTATTAGAGGATAGTAGTCTTGGGAAAACAGTAAGAAAGATCCTGCCACACAGAAAGGAGGGAGGGGTCTCCAGGTGGAGGAACAGCATGTGGAAAGGCAAGGAGTTAAGAAGAGTTTCTCAAATTTACTTGGCTTCTGCTCTGCATTAGGCAGCATATTAGAATAGGTGTCAGTTTCCTGTGCTGCTGTAACAAGTCACCACGAAATGCGCTGACGGACAGTTCTGGGGGTTAGACGTCTGAAACTGGGTCATACGAAGCTAAGGTCTGTCTGCACCCCGGCTGGGGGCTCCTCATCCTTTCCAGCCTCGGGAGGACGGTGAGGTTCCCGGACTCGGCACCTTCCTCCGCCTCCAAAGCCAGCAGTGAACCTTCTCCAAACGTCTTCTCTCCTGGACCTCTGTCGCCATCCCACTGAGCGGGGGGCCTGTGGGCCAGGCACAGCACCGAGTCCTTCGTTCCCATGAGCTTTTTAATCCTCACAATGTCAAGATGAATCATTTATCCCCACTTCAAAAACTTTTCCTTTAATTTTAAAAAATGTATTGATGTTAAAGAGTGAGAGAGAGAAACGCTGATTGGTTGTTCCACTCATTTATGCATTCATCGGCTGGTTCTTGTATGAGCCCTGACCGAGTATTGAACCTGCAACCTTGGTATAACAGGACGATGCTGTAATCGACTGAGCTACCCAGCCACGGCTTACCCCCGCTTTACAGAAGAAGACGCCCTGAGAAATGGAACCAGCAAGGGCCAGGGGAGGAAGGGCTTTCTGTTATGCTACAGAGTCCAGATTTTGTCCTTGGACACCCTTGGCTGTCCCAACATTTCTATACAGAGGAGCAACATGGCCCACGGTATTGCTTTTTAAATCCATTTTTTGTGTTTAAATTTAAAAAATGTATTTCTAAGTAAACTATTTCTGCATGGATTTAAGATTTACAGAGGAGTGGCAGAGGTCGGACAGAACTTCAGCGGGCCCCTCGCGCGGCTTCCCCAAGGTGATCGTTGCACTTTGCCGCCTCATGACCGTGGAAGCAACCCCGGAGCATCGTTATTAACTGAACTGCAGACTGTTCTGCATGTCCCCGGCTTTCCCACAAGGCCCTTCCCCTGTTCCAGGATGCAGTCCAGGACACCACACTGCATTGTGCATACTTCGCAAACTCATTTTTCACAGCGCTGCTCGGAAAGCAGCCTGGGGGGCGGGCTGGTAACAACAGCCGAGCCCCCAGCGACCAAGTGTCACATGCCGGGCACTGTTCTCGCAGGCTCATGGGTGTCACTCGTACATTCTCATCACAGCGAGACGGCAACATTATCATCTCTGGTTTACGGAGGAGGAAAGGAGCGCAGGGAGGTTTAGAAACCTGCTTCTAAGGCCCCGGACAGCTTGCTAGTGAGCTAGAGCATCGTCCCAATATGCCAAGTTCATGGGTTTGATCCCTGGTCAGGGCACACACACAAGGATCAGCCAATGAATGCATCAGTAAGTGAACAACAAATGGATGTTTCTCTCTCCCTCTCTCTCTCCCTCCCTCTTCCTGTCTCTAAAATCAATAAAAAAATAAATAAATAAACTTACCTAAGGGGAACTAGAAGTGGAGAAAAAGACGAAATAGAACACAGGGGCAGAGGAGGGGCACGTTTCTCAGAATAGGGGCCATGGTAGGGGGGCATGGTGGGGGCCATGATGAGGGCCACGGTGGGGGCCATGACAGGGCCCATGGTGGGGGCCATGATGGGGGTCATGATGGGGGTCATGGTGGGGGCCATGACAGGGGCCATGGTGGGGGGGCACTGTGAGGGCATGAGGGTATGAAGGACACCCTGGAGAGTCCCAGTGGCCCTGCCACAGGCCCTTTGCCCTCACCGTCCCCTCCCCTGCAGCACTCTTCCCTTGGTGCCTTTACATTGCTACCATCACTGGACAACTTGGATGCCTGAGCATGTCAGGCACTGTGCTCGGTGCTGGGGGGGTGTATGGTGGGGGGGCCACACAAGGTACTTCTGCACAGGTGGGAACTAACCTCAGGGAAGGAGTCCTATGCAAAGGTGACGGTGGGTGCGAGTGAGCGGGGCTGGGCGCCGTTCTGGAGGGCTCCCTGACCCTGCCGTCCAGCCCCGGCCTCCATGTCCATCACAACTGCCTTTCCAGAACATTGCCAAGGTGGAATTACTTCTTTTTTAATTTATCTGTTCTCTGTCCCTGCACTAGGAAGCAGCTTTTGTACGTAATCCATCCCTGAAGCACAGCAATGAATGGAGAGAAATGAAT